TTCTCTTTGCCGAATAAAACTATTAAAACATAAAAAAAGAAAGCTACGCAAGTCTATTTTATAGTTAGTCTCATTTTTAAAAGAGAACAAAACAAATCCTTACTATTGTTCTTTACCACCCATCTTATTTGAAAGACTCGGAAGTCAGGCTGGAGAGATGGTTCAGTGGTTAAGAGCACTGGTTGCTCTTACAGAGGACCTGGGTTTGATTCTCAGCACACATATGGCAGCTAACAACTGTCCATAACTCCAGCCCCAGGGGATCTGACAGCCTCTTCTGACCTCCGTGGGCATTACACGACATGGGTGCACTTACTTAACATGCAGGCAATACATGAATACATATAAAAATAATAGAATTTAAAAAAAAAAAAAAAGAGTTCCCCTTTCTTTACATCCTTGCCAGCATTTATTGTTTGTTTGATTTTTTTTTTATCTTTGCTATTCTGAGTGGGGTAAAATGAAATCTCAAAAGTGGTTTTAACCTGTATTTCCCTGATGACTAAAGATATTGAACATTTTAAAAAGTATTTCTCATCCATTTGTGCTTTGTCTTTAGAAAACTCCCTGTTCAGCACCTTGCCCCACTTTTCAGTTGGTTTTTCTTAGTGTTTAGTTTTTTGCATTCTTTGTACATTCTAGATACTAACACTCTGTTAGAAGTAGAGCTTGTAAGGATTTTTTCCCATTCTGAAGGTTGCCTCTTTGCTCAAATGATGGTGTCCTCTGACACCATGTTCAGAAGTTTTAGTGTCATGTTCCATTTGTCAATTGTTGGACTTATTGACTGCACTATAGGAGTTTTGTTCAGAAAGTCCTTCCAATGTATTCCCTGCTTTGTCCTCTATTTGATTTAGGATATTGGGTTTTATGTCTAGGTCCTTGATCTGTTTAGAGTTCAGTTTTGTGCATGGTCAGAAATAGTGATCTAGTTTCATTTTTCTACATGCCTTTATCCAGTTTGACCAGAACAATTTGTTAAGTATGCTGTCTTTTCTCTAGTGTGTATTTTGGACTTCTTTGTCAAAAATCAGGTGGATGTAAATATATGGATTTAAATCTGATTTATTCTGTTTCTAATTCCATTCTATTCCATTGATCAGTGTGTCTGTTTTTATGCCAATGCCATGCTATTTTTATTACTATAGCTCTGTAGTATAATTTGAGATCAGGGATGGTAATACCTCTAGCAGTTCTTTCATTCTTTAGCATTATTTTGGCTATCTTGGGTTTTGTGTTTCCATATGAAATTTGAGATTATTTTTTTCAATTTCTGTGAATAATTGTGTTGGAATTTTAATGGATATTGCATTGAATTTGTAGATTGCTTTTGGTAGGATGGCCTTTTTCACAATACTAATCCTACCAATGCATGAGCATGGGAGGTCTTTCTATTTTCTGATATCTTCTTCCGTTTCTTTCTTCAGTGTCTTAAAGTTTTTATTGTACAGGTCCTTCTTTAGATTTATCCAAGATATTTAATGGATTTTGAGACTACCATGAATAGAATTGTTACCTAGATTTTTCTTGGTATGCTTGTTGTTGGTGTATAGGGAAGCCACTGATTTTGGGATGTTAATTTTAAATCTACTTTATCAGCTCTAGGAGCTTTCAGGTGGAGTCTTCAGGGTCCTTTTATGTATAGAATCATATTCTTTTCCAGTTTGTTTAAATGCTCTAGCTAAGGGTTCAAGTACTATAGTGAACAGTAAAGGAGAGAGTGAGCATCCTTGTCTCTATCCCGATTTTAGTAGGATGCTTTCAGTTTTTCTCCATTTAGTATGATGTTGGCTGTGAGCTTTTATTGCCTTTATTATGTTGAGATATGTTCCCTCTAAGTTCTTATCATGAATGGATGCTGGATTTTGTTAAAGACCTTTTCTGCATCTAATGAGACGATCATGTAGTTGCCGTCCTTGAGTCTGTTTATGTGACGGACTACCATGTAATCATAATTTTTAATATTCAAACCTTAATTGATGATGAATATTTTTTCATCTATTTACTATGTTTCTTCTTTTGAAAAAAAATTCAAGCCTCCTTTTTTCATTTTCTCTTGATTGTGTTAAAAAAGAAAACCCATTCATTTGGAGTCTTTATAGTAAAGGATCACCAATTTCTTTTATTTAGATGTCTTTTCGTACAGTGCCTTATTTTTTTATAATGACTTTTGTCAAATACAAGATCTTTTTTTTTTGTCTTTTTGAGACAGGGTTCCGGCTGGCCTGGAACTCACTATGTAGACCAGGCTGGCTTTAAATTACAGAGATTTGCCTGCATGCACCACCATGCTCAGCTCACAAGTTCTTAATTTTAATGTGTCTGAATTTTCCAGCATTATGTTTATGTGCATGTATGCAAGTACATATGTTTGTGTACATATATGCACATACATGTGGAGACCAAAGATCAGCCTTGGATGTCATTCTTCAGGAGTTGTCTACCTTGTTTTTTGAGACTGGGTCATAGAGCTTAGGCTCCAAGCTCCAGGGATCCTTCCATCTCAGACTTCTAAGCACTGGGGTTATAAGCATGCACTACCATGCCTGGGCTTTTTTTTTTTTTTTTTTTTTAAATATGGGTGCTGAGAATTGAACTTGGGTTCTCATGCTTGTGAAGCAAGCACTGTATTGTGTCTACAGCCCCATTATAATTTTTTTTTAAGTCTCATTTACAAATTCCTTCCCTTGCCTTGGTTCATGAAGGTACTCTACTACAATTTCGCTGAAAAGTTTTAAGTTAAATTTTATAAAATTACTTTTGCTTCTTTTTAGGCAATAGAGCATATGTTCTACAGGAGAAGCATGGTTGTGGCTGATTCAGTTTCACATATAACACAGCACCTTCAGCATCAGGCTCTTAATTCTATTTCTGTAGCCAAGGTATGCAAACAACTATTGAGCATAATTATTCTGTCTTTAAAAAAAATATATTTGTTTTTTTCTGTGCATGTGTGTGCACACACCACAACATACCTGTGGAGGTTAGACAACAGCTTGTTGGAACTGGTTCTCTTTGAGGTTGTGGGTCTTGGGGATTGAGCTCGTGTTGTTGGGTTTGGTGCCAAGCATCTTTACTTGATGAGCTCTCTTTCCAGGCCCTGTGCTATCATTTTTTGTTCTGTTGTTTTATATGTATTTTTTAGTTTGGCCTATTCCAGTCCTGAAAACTTGTTACTATTATTTTGTAATCTTATTTTATTTTATTTTGTAATCTTAAAGTCATCAGGATTACTTTAACTCTGAAGTTGCAGCACATAAATATTAGTGGACTTCTGTTTTGTTTTTTGTTTTTTGTTTTTTTAAGAGCACTTTGGGGGTCTTGAGAGATGGCTCAGTGCTCAATGGTTAAACACATTGCTATTCTTACAGAGGGATCTGGGTTGGGTTTCCAGCACCCACATAGCTGCTCAAAATAACCTCTAAAACTTCAGTTCCAGTGCCCTCTTCTGGTCTCTATGGGCACTGTACTTGTGGTGTACATGCAGGCAAAGCACTCAGACATAAAATAAAAAATAAAGCACTTTTCAAATTGATGCATCAGTTTTAAATGGAAGTGGAATATTAATATATGCCCAATACATTTGCTGTTCGTGACAGTGCTAAGAGATACTGTTATAGCAGTAAAGTTCAGAACACTGGGAGAAGTTCAGCAGGAGACTCTCCTGAACTGAATCATGGAAAAGATCATAGAGATTTTTTTCCTCTGAGACTTAATATCTTAGAAAAAAAAGTAATAGTTTCCCATTTCTTCTGTTACCTTTAAGAAAAGAGTAATTTCAGACAAAAAATATAGTGAACAGCGTCTTGATGTTCTGTCTGCTCTTGTTTTGGCTGAAAATACCCTAAATGGACCGAGCACAAAGCAACGGCGGCTTATCGTCTCTTTGGCACTCAGTGTTGGCACACAGATGGTAAGCGCATTGCTATTATTTATGGAGTGGAGATGAGGCCTGAAGTTCACGGTTTGTGGTTAGCCAAGAAACTTGACCTTAATAATGATACTTCTCTGCCTTTTTCTCTTCTTGCTGATAGAAAACATTTAAAGATGAAGAACTCTTTCCCCTTCAGGTAGTCATGAAAAAACTGGATCTTATCAGTGAACTTAGAGAACGGTAAGTAGAACTGGGTGTAGAGAACATATATTACTTTTCTGTGGCTGTGATAAAGCACCATGACCAAGGCAACTTGCAGAGGGAAGAGTTTATTAGGGTTATGATTCAAACTTGTATATTAGTTACTTTTCTGTTGCTGTGATAAAGTACCATGACCAAGGTGGTTTATAGAAGAAAGGGTTTATTGGGCCTAAGGTTCCAGAGAGATTGGAGTTCATCATGATGAGGAGGCGTGGCAGGAGGCTGCCAGAGCAGAAAAGCTGAGAGCTGACATTTTCCAGCAGGCACAGGAAGCAGAGAGAGCCACACGGGAAATGGGACGTGGCGATGAACGCTCCAAGCCTGCCCCAAGTGATGTGCTCCTCCAGCATGGTCACACCTAAACCTCTGCAAATGGTCCACAACTGGAGCCAAGTATTCAAACACTTGGGGACATTTTTATTCAAACCCATTCAAAAGACTGGGATGATAGAAACAGAGATTCTCCCCCCTTCTCTCTCCCTCTGCCTCCCCTTACTCCTCCTTCCTTCCTTCCCTCTTTTTGCCCCTTTCTTCTTCCCTTTGGCTTCACTATATAGCCAGCCCATGCTGGCCTTCAATGTCCACCTGACCCAATTTGGCCTCTCCAGTCCTGAGATTAGAGGATGTGCCACCACACACAACTTGTTTTCTTTTGACGTAGCAAGAGTAGGCATAAAATCCAAGTTAGAGCATTAGTTCCTCTCTGAACTTTTGTAGTGACCAAAAGGAGATTGTGACTGCACATTATCCTTGTTTAGCTTTGCTTCCATAGGAGCCATGAATATCTGCAAGAATTCACATGAGACAAAGCAGCGTACCCCCATTTTTGGCAAACCCTGATGTATATTGTGATTATTTTATTGGGTGTTAGTGCTGGACTTTGAAAATTGTTGCTTCATAATAAAGCTTTATTTTTTGTGAGATGCTTTAAGATGTATGATATAGTGGATCTTACACCTATATATAATGTCAATAGCTGGTCACTAAGTTGGATTAGTTTTTTAGAGGGCTTATTTTATTATTTTACATGTATGAGTGTATTGCATGTATGTAAGTGTACCCGTGTTGAGCAATACCCAAGGAAGAGGGCATCAGATCCCCTGGAACTAGAAGAACAGACAGTTGTTAGCTGCCATGTGGGTGCTGGGACTCGAACCCAGGTCCTCTGCAAGAGCAGTCAGTACTCTTAACCGCTGAGCCCCCTTTCTAGCCCCGGCTTATTTTTTTTTTTTTTTTTTTTTTTTTTTTTTTTTTGAGTCAGGATCTCCTGTAGTCCCAGCTGGCCTGGCACTTGCTGTGTAGACCAGGCTGGCCTCAATCTCAGAGAGAGCTGCCTGCCTCTGCCTCTCAAGTGCTGGAACTAAAAGGTGTGTACCACCATACCCAGCTAGAAGGCTTATTTTTGCAGGTACTTGTGACTTTGTTTTCTTTTCATTGCATAAGTAGTAGATTTATTGAAGGGAAAATGAGTCCCCTGAATTTTGATTGTCAGCTGAGTTGTAGTCACAGCACAATTTTCATTTGCTGTTCCTAATTGTCTTTGCTGTTCTGAGAAAGGTGATGTTTTGTAGTTAGTGGGATTTAATTTTCAGTCCTTGAAAGAAATATTGAGCCTTTTTCATTATAAGATAGTCAATACTTTTGTTACCCTAAATGTGTTAAATAGTCATTTGATAGCAAAGATGATATATAGGTCACATAAACATATTTTTTGGTCAGTTTTTAAAAACCTGCTTTTCAGTTGGGAGACAGGTAAAATGCTACATGTGACACTAAGATATTATTTCAAATAATGCTGAAAATGAATTTGTTTCAAATTCTTATTTAATAGTTGTCTTTTGACAGTCTTAAAACTTAACGCATATGCAGAATTCTGACAGTATAAGGTATTAGAGTGTTTTGTTACCTTTGGGCAATTTGAAAAATATTTATTTTTATGACTTTTTGTATTAATGTTGGGTGAAATGATACTGGGAATGCAAAGTGAAGAGGACGGACCTCTTCTTCTAGCGTACAAGTCGGTCTTCTGTGTTGTTCAGGCATACTTAAATTTTGGTACCACTAATTACTTATTACCTTATATTGTAGAGTCCAAACACAATGTGACTGTTGTTTTTTATACTGGCATCGAGCTGTCTTCCCAATTTATTTAGATGATGTGTATGAAAATGCTGTTGATGCAGCTAGATTACATGTAAGTAAAGAATAATGGAAAGAGTAAACATTTTAGTTTCTCTTTAGTTTTAAAATAGGTCATTTGATTTAATCATTATAAAATTATCCTATTATGTTGTTTTGAATAGTGATATGCATATCCAATAAAGGTATGTGCAGTCATAGATAACTTTTATATTAGTGGTTAGTTTTAATATATACTTAATTCCTGCATTCATATAGTTAACCTTTCTCATTTCACTTGGTTTTAGTTGGTCACAATAGTTTTGATATTTACTTATTACAAGCTCTGTGTTATTCAAAGCTTTTTTAAAAAATGGAGCTAAGTGTGTTTGAACACATAGGAAAAGATAAGTGAATGAGAATATTTTGTGTGCTTAAATCATGTGTTTCAGGTTTTTAAGAAAATAAGGCAGTCATAGAAAAATAATTTTCCCTTTGTCTTTATATGTAATTAGGCTTTGTAATACTGCTTGGAAACATATTTTTTCTAATCTCGTTCGTTTTAATCTTCTTGCTAGTATATGTTCAGTGCGTTACGAGACTGTGTACCTGCTATGATGCATGCAAGGCATTTAGAGTCCTATGAGCTACTTCTGGACTGCTATGATAAGGAAATTATGGAAATTTTAAATGAGGTAAGATTAAATTAAGATTGAAAGCTTAACAATGCTTTGAAATACACTTTTTGGATAAAAAGTCTCAGTTGGCAGACTTGAGCCAAAAATTATTATTTATAACCTGGGTGTAGTGGTGCTTGATTGTACTCCCTGTACTTGGGAGGTTGAAGCAGGAAGATCATGATCACGAGTTCCAGGCCAGCCTGGGCTACATAGTGATACCCTGTCTCAAGAAAGCCAAAGACAGTTATTATTAGTCATTGTGTAAGCAGAGAGTGTATTTTTAGTTACAGTATCACTATTACACTAAATGAATCTACATTTCCAGTTTTTAAAAAATCAAACTAGGAATCTGGAAATTTGTTAACTTTTGTTATGTATATTGATTTTAAATTCCTATTTCTCAGAAGCATGTATGAAATGGGTTTGAATGTTGAGTGCTGCTAATGGTAAGTTAATCAATAATTAATATAGCTATTAGTATTTTAGTTAATTTCATAAAGAGCGTGCCTAAGGAGAAAATTACGTATTTAAAAGACTGATATACAAAAATAATTTTTTGTGGGTTTTTTTTCTTTTTAAGACAGGGTCTCCCTGGAGCTCTAGCTGGCCTGGAACTCACTATGTAGGCCAGGCTAGTCTCAATCTCACAGTGATCCACCTGCCTCTGCCTCCCAAGTTCTGGGATTAAAAGCATGACCCACCATGTCTGGCCCATAAAAATGATTTTGACTGCAGTATGGCATACCCACTCTGAGTGTATAACACTCTTAACTTAAACTGGGCACATGGTGGCTTGTGCCTATAATCCTAGAACTTGTGAGGTGAGGCAGCTGTGAGTTTGAGTCTGGCCTGGGTCTCAGTAGTGAATGAGTTCCATGTCAGCCTGCACCGAAGAGTGAGATTCTTACTCAAAAAAACAAAATATAATCACGCTCACCCTCCCATTCCCACACTCTCACACCCCCAGGCGTTGAGAGAGATGGCTCAGAGTTATGAGCACCAGCTGCTCTTGCAGAATACCCACACACCCACATGGCTCATCACAACCATCTATAACTCCAGTCCCAGGGGATCCAATAACTTGGCCTCCATGGGCACTGCATGCACATGGTGTACTTACATGCACGCAGGCAAAACAGTCATACACTTAAAATGAAAATAAATAAATCTTTTAAAAAATATTTTATGTGTATGAATGTATTGCCTGAATATGTGTAAGTTCATCTGTGTTGTGCAGTGCTGGCAAAGGTCAAAAGACGGTGTTGGATCCCCTGGAACTGGAGTTACAGATGGTTGTTAGCTGCCATGTGGGTGCTGGGAACTGAACCCAGGTCCTCTGCATGAGTAGCCAATGCTCTTAACCAGTGAGCCATCTCTCCAGCCCTGTAAATAAATCTTTTTTTTTTGGCCTTTTTTTGAGACAGGGTCTCCCTGTAGCCCCAGCTAGCCTGGAACTCACTATGTAGACCAGGCTGACCTTGAACACTCAAGAGATCCACCTGCTTCTGGAATCATCCGAGTGCTGGGATTAAAGGCTTGCACCACCACACCCAGCTGTAAATCTTTTTTTAAAAAAAACTTAAATATTGATATTTTTTAGGTAAATTTCCATCTGGTAATATTTTTATTTGGAAGATAGAATTTAAAATGAACAAAGTGATCAGTGGTGATGGTGTATACCTTTAATCTCAGTGTTCTAGTTTGTTTTGCCATTGCTGTGACAAAATACTCTGAACAGTACCAACTTGGGGAAGAAAGGGTTTATTTGGCTTACATCTCCCTTGTGACAGGTAGGAGCTGGAGCACAGGCCATGGAGGAATGCTGTTTACTGGCTTGCTCCCCTGGCCCATGATCATCCTGCTTTATTAAACAATACAGAACAACCTGCCCAGAGGTGGCCCTGGCTACAGTGGTCTTGGCCCGCCCACGTCACTCAGCAATCAAGAAAATACTCCACAGACATGGCCACAGGCCAGTCTGTTGGAGGCAATTCACCAGTTGAAGCTCCCTTTACCCAAGTGTGTCAGATTGACAACTAAAGCTATTTAGCACACTCAGCATTCAAGAAGCAGAGGCAGGTGGATCTCTGTGTGATAGAGGCCAGCCTGGTCTACACTGGCCAGCTGGGGCTACAGGGAGACCCTCTCTGAAAAAAACAAAAAAGAACAACTCTTGTAGTATAAACCTATTTTAGTGTGAGGAAATTATGAAAAATTTTATGTAATTTCTTACTCTGTTTTTGTTACCCTGCTGGATTATCAAACTTTGCATGTACTCATAAATATTCTCATTTAAAAATAAAATAATTATCTTGCCAATGTGTGGAACTCTGACAGACAAGAAAAGATAATTGATTTAATTACTTTTAGCATAGTGAATTTTTAAAAAAAATTTATTTATTTTTATTTTATGTGTGTATTGCTTGCATGTAGGTAAGTGCACCTGTGTTTTGCAGTGCCAGTAGAGGTCAGAAGAGGCTGTCGGATCCCCTGGGACTGGAGTTATGAACAGTTGTTAGCTGCCATGTGGGTGCTGGGATTCGAACCCAGGTCTTCTGCAAGAACAGCCAGTGTTCTTAACTGCTGAGCCATCTCTCCAGCCCCAGCATAGTGAATTTTTTGATTTAAAGAAAGTGTATGATATTGTGTGTGTGTGTGCACGCACGTGCACCCCGTACACGTGTACACACACACACAGGTACAGGGTGCATGTGCTGTGGCCATGTGTGAGGGTCAGAAAACAACCTCAGGTGTTGATCCTTATCTTTAACTTTTTTTGAGACAGGATTTCTTTGCTGCTTGCTATTGCATATGGCAGGGTAGCTGTCTCTTGAGTTTTGGGGGATGCTCCCGTCTCTGCCTAGCATCTCGTTCTGGGATTACAGGTGTATACTACCATATTTGGCTTTATGTGGGTTCTGGGGATCTGAACTCAGGTCTTCACACTGTGAGCACACACTTTACTAATCCATCTCCCCAGCCTCCATGATGTTTAATGATACTTATTAAGAACTATTTTCCAGGGCTGAAGAGATGGCTCAGTGGTTAAGAACACTGACTAGTCTTGCAGAAGACCCGGGTTCGAATCCCTGCACCCACATGGCAGCTAACAACTGTCCCTAACTCCAGTTCCAGGGGATCTGACAGCCTCTTAGGGCTGCCTTCTGCGGGCATTGCACGGGTGCACTTACCTACATTCAGACAAAATATGCATACACATTAAATAAAAAATTTTAAAAAAGGAGAAAGCTCCCAATTGACTGGCCTTGGTGTGGTCATTCCATTTAAAAAAAGAAAGAACCATTTTCCTTTGTTGCATATTTGTAAGCCCTCTCATCTTTTGTTGCTAGTTTGTTGTAGCGTAAATTGTATGCTTTATATTGCAAATTCGTCTTCTTTATAATGAAGCCATTAGTTTTTTGCTTTTCATGGGAATTAAATTTAAACTATTCATGAAAATGAAGTCTCAGTATTTGTTTCACTGCCCCCCGACTTAAAAAAAAGTCATTAGTTTAAAATGGAGAGCAGAGTAATTTTCACTTTCCCAACAACAATAAGATTTGATCACTGAGGGTTTAGAGTCATAAATAAAAAAGGTAGTTTGGCAATGTTTTCATTAGTGGACTATTATGAAACTATTAAGGTCAAGGCATAAGCATGTAGGCAAGCAATACAGTTGGAATATGATTTTGAAAATCTGTCAATTCTTTGTGACTAGCATTTGCTGGATAAGTTGTGTAAAGAAATAGAGAAGGATCTGCGGCTTTCTGTGCACACTCATTTGAAGCTGGACGACCGCAATCCTTTCAAAGTCGGCATGAAAGATCTGGCTCTTTTCTTTTCTCTGAATCCAATTCGGTTTTTCAATCGGTTCATTGACATTCGAGGTGAGTATTCTGCTTTCCTTCATAGTCATGGCCTGTAGCTCTCTCTCTCTCTCTCTCTTTTTTTTTTTTGCTTGTTAAAGAGCAAATAAACTTCAAGAGCATCTTTTTGTATGTTAATTCATTTGTTACTCTTTAATTCTATTTTGTTTCCTTCCTTATTTTCTGTCTTGGCACTTTTTTTTAAGATGTGGCTCTTGCTGTGTAGCTCAGTCTGTAGCTCAGGTAGGCCTCAGACTTGTGATTCTCCTGCCCCAGGATTAAAGGCCCCCATACCCAGTATTTTTTAATTTTTTGGAGACAGGAGTTCATTGTCTAGCTGAGGCTGGTTTTGAACTCACGATCCTCTGTCTCAGTTCCCTGAGTGTTAAGACTAGCATCTTAAAGGAACAAATTTGATGTTAAAATCATGAGGTCTTTTTGTTGTCCTTTTGAGTTTCATTTCTTTTCTACTGTTCATGAATCAAATATATTTTATGGGTTTTTTTGTAGCTTATGTAACTCACTATCTAGATAAGACTTTCTACAATCTTACAACAGTAGCTCTTCATGACTGGGCCACGTACAGTGAGATGAGAAATTTGGCTACTCAGCGTTATGGGTTGGTTATGACAGAGGCACACCTTCCTAGCCAGACTTTGGAACAGGTATGTGTACAGTGTTTCTAACATGGTCTGACAGTATAACAGTATTAATTTAAGATATCCTTTTTTAAGCTCACGATTGTTTATTTATTTTTATTTTATGTGTATGAGCGTTATGCCTGTATGTATGTAAGTGCCACCAGTGTCATGCAGTGCCTGTGGAGAACAGAATTGGCATCAGATCTCCTGGAACTGGTGTTACAGACGGTTGTTAACTGCCATATGGGTGTTCTACAAGAGCAGACAGTGCTCTTAACCCCTGAGCCATCTCTCTAGTCCCAATCTCAGTATTTTTTAGCAAAAGATTTTGTTATATAAAGCCTCATATTTGACAAGAATAAAATATTAGATGGTGCTTACTAGGTTTTATAAAAGAATTTATCATAGTCTCTCTGAGTATACTCAGATGTCTGCTGAGCACATGAAATACATGTATTATAAGCATTTCAGAGGTATACTAGTGAGATGATTACCGAGAATTCTAAGATGTATGGTCATTTTGAACTTAGGTATGCTACATGAACTTAAGTATTTTAGGAAGAACAGTTCTATAATTGCAAAGAAACATTTGACTTTGCTAACTCAATTAGCTAGTTTATAACAGGGCAGTATTTCATGAATGTAGCAATTTAGGTTCTCAGTTAATTTGTATGGAATCCTTTCTAAGATAGCCCAGTTAATATTTATCAAAAAAGCATTTATTCACCTGGTGTGGTGCAGGGCTTTAATCCCAGGACTTGGGAGGCAGAGGCCAGCCTGGTCTAGATGCGAGTTTCAAACCAGCTGGGGCTACAGGGAGACCCTGTCTCAAAAAGACTTAAAAAAAAAAAGCATTTATTCACTTCCAAAATGTGAGGATCAAAAAGTTTGCTTTATCCTCTTGCATTTAAGGATGGTTTCCAGGATCAGCGTGTGTATTTCTTTGATTTATTTAAACATCTAATATGTGTTGAGAGGTGCTGGATACTGAACTATATTCCAGGATCCAAAGAGAAATAGAAACAGCTTTAGCTATTTATATTTGGATAGTCTAGTGGGAGATAAAAATGTCAACAAACTTGGGTTAGTACATGATAAAAGTTAAAATACTTGCCGGGCGTGGTGGCACATGCCTTTAATCCCAGCATTTGGGAGGCAGAGGCAGCTAGATCTCTGTGAGATCGAGGTCAGCCCAGTCTACATAGTAAGTTCCAGGCCAGGTGAGCTGCAGGAAGACCTTGTCTCAAAAAACAAAGAAGTATAGTACTTAACTGGATTGTGATCCTGCTTTGAGTGCTAGTTAGGAAAGCTTTGAAATAATGTATAGGATATACCACTGAGTAGCAGGTGGTAGTATCTGAAGATTGAAGGAATCACAATAGACTAAAAGTGGTCTGAGGGCTGGAGCAGTGATTCAGCAGTTAGTACCTATTGCTCTTGCAGAGGACTCAAATTCGGTTCACAACATCCATATCAGGCAGCTCACAACCACCTATAATTCTATCTCCAAGAGATCCAAGGTCACTTTCTGGCCTCTGAGGGCACCTGCACTTGTGCACATACTACACACATTCACATACATATTTATATATAATTTTTAAAAAATGTAAAATTGGTATGGTATAATCAAAAGCATAAACCTTTGGAATGAAGACTTTCTAAAATCCTAGGGTTCTTAGCTCTTGGACCTCAGGAAACTGCTTGCTTCATTTTTTTTTTTTTTTTAACTTCAGATATTTAGAAGAATAATACTTAATTTTTTTGAGAATTATATATGAAGAATAGTTCCTAAAAAATAGTATGCATTTTTATCATAACATGTCTTGTATCTTTTAGAGTCTAGTCATCAGTGTACTTTGTAAATAGAGGTAGAGAAGTTGCGGGATGGTCAGGAAATGGCTGTTGTTCTGGATCTTGTAAATTAAGTGTAACTGTTTCTATCCATGTAGGAGGGATAAAACAATAATTGGTAGACAGATTTTTTTTCAAGGAGGTCGTCCTGTGTGTACATATCAGAAGGCTCTTGAACCTTCGACAGTACCTTTTATGTAGTTTTTAAAATAATGTGACATGTTGGGAAATGATGTAGTATAATCTATAAATTGCTATATTGATACAAGTTTAATCATCTTAAACTTAAAATCATGGAACTTCTGTATGGATTGTTTCAGGGACTTGATGTTTTGGAAATCATGAGGAACATTCATATATTTGTGTCTCGATACCTCTATAATCTCAACAATCAAGTGAGTAGATTTTTGAAAAATACTGTTTTGTGGGGATTTGTTTTTAGGCAAGCTGGCCTAGAATATATTCTGTAGCCAAGGCTGCCCTTGAGCTCAAGATGATCCTTCTTCCTTAGCCTCCTGAGTGTTGAGATACAGGGATAGGCCACTTAGATAAATGTTTAAATGTGGGTGGCTATATAATGGGAGGGCCAAGAGGCAAGGGATGGATTACCAAAGGTCAGAGTTAATAAAATCTACAGGGGCTAGAGAGATGGCTCAGCATAAGAACACTTGGTTGTTCTTGCAGAAGACCCGGGTTTGAATTCCAGCACCCACATGGCAGCTAACAGCTGTCCATAACACTAGTCCCAGGGGATCCGACAGCCCCTTCTGACCTCCTCGGGCATTGCACGACACGGGTGCACTTACCTACACGCAGGCAATACACTCATACACGTAAATAAAATAAAAAAAAATAAAATCTGCAAACAAAAATAGAGTTCTTGTTTATTGTTTTGTTGCTATTACCTTCTAGAATGGCTTTTCAATTATATTTTCCTTAATGAAACATTCTGAAGTTTTTCTTGGGTAACTGACCAGTGTTTGGAGTGAGTTGTGGTCTTACTGAGTGTAAATTTTTTGCATTGCAGATTTTTATTGAACGGACGAGCAATAATAAGCATTTGAATACTATTAATATTCGACATATTGCTAATTCCATTCGGACTCATGGCACAGGGATCATGAATACAACAGTAAGCACCATTGGGATGGGTAATAGACCCCTGTCTAAGTTAGTGATTGAGAAAATAAATTTGTATAGGACAGTCTAGTAAACATACACTGCTGCCTGTTTATGTCTGAATGTCCATTTTTTTTCCTGAAGTCTAGACAAAAATATCTGACACTAAAATTGGGTCAATGAGATGGGAGCTATGATGGAAAAGGCTCTGTAAGGTCTCTTAACCATCTCTGGATCATAATTACAAATAGCTGTGAAGGTCTGAAAATGTAACTGCATGTATATGTGTGTGTGTTGACTCTGATATTCTCAGATTTCCTTGTGAAAATGAATCATTAATAGCAGTTTATTCAATGTCATAGCATTTTTGGAGGGAGAATTATAATTCTTAGCTGTATACATAGGAACATATTAATAGTATTTTGGATCTTCTTTGAAATGGGCAGTTACTTGAAGAAATCACTAGAATTTGTAGGCTATTTCTCCCCTCATAAGGCATGGCTAATTTCTCCATAAGAGGAAAAAAATGTGTGCTTAAATAGGGAAATAATAAATGGATTTGGAGTGAGGGAATGGGGAGAAGACCGGAAAGTTAAGTTGAGATCATTTTGGTATACAGCGAGGAAGGTTTTAAACTTTGAGCTGATGAACAGCATGATTGTACTACTTTTTCAGTGGTTACCAGTATGGAGATGAGAGTTAGTCAGAGTTTTAAATATAAGGAATCATCCATGTAGAAATAATCTCTGAACCTTTAAGAACAAATAAACTCTGGAGTTATGGGGCAGGTGCTTTCTTAACTTGAATCATCTGTCAAACATTTATATAACAGATATTCCAAGTGAATTGTGTGTTTTTTGGGTACTGTGCTAGGGTAAGAAAAACAGGCATTTTCTGCTGCCTTAGTAATAGAGGATTATTGACATTCATTAGTTAATCACAGTAGTGGAGGGTTACTGGTATGTATTGATAAAAATGAGCCTAGGAGGGTAAGAATCAGAGTAACAAGAGTTACTCACCATTGAGTGGGAGGAGAGAAAAAGAAACAGAAAAGACCAAGGAAAGTAGTGTTTAAGCCATAATATCAACACCCATTTCGATAGCTGAGTAAATGAGACTGAGTAAATTTGCTAAAACTATCACTAATACTTGAGAGTAGTGGGGTGGAACAGGCCTTCCATCTGTAGGATGGAATTAATTTTATAAATAAATTTTATAAATGGCATACTACTTTAATCTCAGCTCAAATCACTTTCTCAGGATTTTATGGGTCTGGGTTTTGATAATTTGTGCTTGAAGCACCTACATGTCTCATTTTTGGAAATTACTGCAGTTGTGATTTAGTAATGTATTTTATTATATGTGTTCAGTATGTTTGTTCTTCTGGAATATAAACAGTGAGGACAAAGACTGTGTCTAGCTTTAGAACAGGCAGTGCCCTGCATAAAAGGCTTCAATCTAGTAGTCATGGATAAGTGACTGCACTTTAATACCTTCCTTACGTCAGCCATGTTGACTGGTAAGGAGTAATCTAACTAGTGGGGGAGCATGGGAAACTTGTGACTGTGATTGAAGTGGTTTCAATACTAGGGTTGTATGTAGGGCTTATACTTTGTTTCCCACTAAGCACTTAATCCTACCATGAGATATTTTCCATTTTTCTTTCTTTTTTCCTCCTTTTTAGGAAAAGTATACACAAGAAGCCTATAGAAATTTTATAAATTTGGGCAGTAAACTCTGTTAAAACATTTCAGCTCTAGTATCAACTTCATTAATAGTACTTTTAAGGTCATTGTTAGTAACAATGAAATTAATCTTTATATTGACTTTTAAAATTTTACTTTTATAGGTTAATTTTACCTACCAGTTTTTGAAAAAGAAGTTCTATATATTTAGCCAGTTTATGTATGATGAACATATCAAATCCAGATTGATTAAAGATATTCGGTTTTTCAGGGAAATCAAGGACCAAAATGATCATAAGGTATGCTACATACTCTTTTTGGTTCTTTGATTCAGTTACCACACAGATGGCAAATGTTTATGCTAAACATCACTTAGATCTCTATGAAGCTTTAGTTTTTAAAATCTTTATCTGCCTCCTATGTCTGGCATCTGCCACTCTCCTCTGCTTTCCCTTATCATTTCCTACTTTTTATGTTCTCTCTAGGTTTAAGCATGAGGGAGCAGTAAACGATACTGTGGCCCAGTTTACTTTTCCTTATTTTGGAATAATAGCAATACCATGTTTATTTTGAAACATTTAAACAGTGCCTAGTGCATTGATCAGAGTCCTCCCTCATTTTTCTTCTTCATTTTCTGGAGGCCATTGCTGTTAACAGTATAGTTCAGTGCCCTTTTCACAATAAACATGTAGTACTTCTGCACATCTATAGAGCTTGCTTTTTTATTGCAAAAGTGGAGCAATACTATGATACTGTTTTGAATTGTGTTCTTAATGTCTGCATATAGATCTACCTCATTACTTATATATATACATATATGTATGTATATCTGTATACCATAACTTACTTAACCTTCAGTTTATGAATATTTTAGTTTTTCATCTACTCTTACAAACAATACTACAGATAGCACTCTTAAACATAGATTTCTAGAACAGTGAATTGGATTGTAAAGGATTTCTAGAACACTGAATGAGAGTGAGTGTTTAAGGTTTCTGGCACTCGTTGCCCAACACTCCAGAAACACTGCAGTGTTGATTTCCCACCAATGATTTGTAAGTATGCAGTTTTTCTGGTCTGGGGATAGACCTCCTGGGAAGAGTGCCTTGTCCACCATACGTAAGACCCTGGGTTGGATCCCCAGAATAATAGAATAGGAACTGAAAATGACAGTGAGAGTGACATGACCTATTTGGTAGGCATTATGTGCTTTAAGGGCCTAAGATAGTCTTAAAATTATCTCTCTAGTATCCTTTTGATAGAGCAGAAAAATTCAATCGTGGAATAAGAAAACTGGGAATTACACCGGAGGGGCAGAGCTACCTTGATCAGTTCAGGCAACTCATCAGCCAAATTGGTAAGTTACTGAAAGTGTTGGGAAATAAAATACGAATACTATAATCATACATTCTGTGTGTATTAAGCAGGTCATGCTAATGTCATGTAAACACTTTGGCTTCATTCCACTGGTATCTTTTCCTTTTTGACACAGTCCCACTATGTAGCCCCAACCGGCCTGCAACTCGTTTTGTAGACCAGTCTGGCCTCGAACTTCTAGAGATCTTCATGCTTCTGCTTCATAAGTGCTGAGATTAATGACATGTGCCACCATGCTCAGCAGAATCAGTTTTTGGGTTTTTTGTTGTTGTCGTTTTTATCAAACTATTATATTGAAACTACTGATAGACTGTTAAGTTAAATAGTGTGTCAAATTAAATTGGAATTTACTTAGGAAATACTGTCTAAGATTTCATTCATAATTAACAGTTTGCTGGCATGTACTTACTGGGTACTTAGTCTGTTCAAGGCACTGTTAGGGGCTTTTAAAATAGATTTATATTTATAACCTAAATGTAACAACATATAATATTTAAATGAAAGCAATTTTGTAAATTTAATCAAAGATTACATGTTAAATGTAATTTTTCAGTGCTGTGTCATTTTATACTTGTGTATAGGATTTGTACTGCTTCTGAAATATAGTATATAATATTTAAAGGGAAGAACTACATTTAAATTCATAGATTAACAAGATCTTACACTTCTTTGAGCTGTTCACGTTTGTTATCTCTGTTAGTGTCAACACAGTAACCCTGTGAAATAAAAAGTGGTGCTGACATCTAAATCCTAGCTGTAAGTTCAGTAGTCCTTTACATCCTTGACAGTTTAATTGCCATCAGCAGTTAATAAAATCTTACTATATTTTGGAAAAATAATGCCACCTAAGATGGATTAATTGATTTATCAAACATTTACTTACTAAGCATCAGTTTTGCCAAGTAATCTAGGCCTAGGGATGCAAACAGCCAAGAGGCTTTAAATTGACAATGAGAACGTGTAGAAACATTTGAAGTCATTGACTGCTAGCTTAAGTTTTATAGAGTACTTGGTTTGAAATTGATGTTCCTTTTGTGCTGCATAGGAGAATTTAGAGAACCTTACTTTTTAAAATTGTTTTTTAATCTTAAACCATTTAATGTGAGATATTGCCCAACAGGTACTATTTTCTTTCAGGAGACTTCTTTCTTTTGAGGCAAGGTCTTTGTAGCCCTAGCTGGCCTGAAATGTACTGTATAGACCAGGCTTGCCTCAGTCTCACAGTGATCTATGTGTATTTGCCTCTCAAGTGCTGGGATTAAAGGTGTGCACCATCATGCCCAGCTGTCAGAGAATGTTTTATATCTTATTAGTTCTCAGATTTTGAGCAGTACTTAACTGTGAGAATCTGATTAAAATTCTGGGTTCATCCCCCAGACCTGATACCCATATGCTTACGTTGTAGTCCAGATATTCAAAGCTAGGGACTAGGGACTTCAGATTTAAAGCTATCCTTTTAGAGCAGTGTCTTTTTTTTTTTTTCTTTTTAAAAGATTCATTTTTTTATTCGTGTGTGTGTGTGTCTGTATGTCTGTGTGTATATTGCTACATGTGTGCAGGTGCACACAAAGGCCAGAAGAGGGCATTGGAGCCCCTGGAGCTGAATTTTCAGGTGATCTTGAGCCATTAGTGCAGGTGCTAAGAACCAAATTTGGGTCCTCTGGAAGAGCAGTAAATGGTCTTGACCATTGAGCCATCTCTCCAGTCCCTACAGCAGTGTTTCTTAAACTTATTATTATTATTATTATTATTATTATTATTACCAAACTCTAGTAACCAAAACAGTTACTAGAGTTTCACCTCTGCTGTTTGTTTCACTTGAAAATATTTTGTGAAAGTATAATTATACCTAAGAAAAAGGAACTTCTTAAGTTGTAGGCTTTAGAATGTTAGTTTTCCTTTAATTCACCTCAGTATACATGACACTGAAATACGTGTTCCACATTCTTTTCTGTGCCACCTAATGTCACTTAGACTATCATAACAGTTGGGAAATGCTATTGCTTCACTTTATTCCAGCATCTTATTCTGTCTTCTTTAAAAATACAAATTCTTTTACTCTACTTATAAAGCACTCTAGTGTGTTTTTGAGTCTGTTGTCTGCCTTGAGAAAAGGAGTCAAAAGAGCTGGGAGAGCAAAGTAAAATGTGGCTTATTTATTTTATTTTTTGAGACAATCTTGCTACGTATCTCTAGCTAGCTGGAATTCACTGTGTAGACCAGCAAGCTTCTCTGAATCTTGCCACAGTCCTCCTGCCTTTGCCTCCTGAGTGTTAGAATTACGGTCATGCACCACCAGGCCCAACATATGAAAGAGAAGTCTTTTGTTGAATGATCTGCCTGCTGAAATAGCAACTGCTAACATTTAATGTTACTCAGTGCTGTGCCTTTGTATGTTTTCAGTAACATACTCCTGAGCTAAGATGCATCTTTTTCAAAATGGGCTGTAAATTTTTAGGTTTACATTTGACTTGTTACAGTTATACAATATAACTGTATAACCCCTATAAGACATAAAATTAAATGAGGTTTTAACCTTTAAAAAAGAGCTCCATTTCATTATTAAAATAACAGTTTCATGTGTAAAAATCCCCATGTATGTGAAGTATTCTATTCATCTTAAAAGATTTATTTAGGACAAATACATATTTTAGGTGCTGGTGATATGACAGTAAACAAAGTCTATGCCTTTTAGAGCTTAATTTAGCAGATGAGGACATTGACATACAGATATTTTTATAATTTGATCTAGGCCACAGCTAACAAATGGTAGAATCTGGATTTGAACTTTGGTAGTCTGTTTAGGACTTTTGCTTTTAGTCACTATTCCAAGCTAGCCTCTCATATTTTAATCAGTAATCATTCAGCATTGGATGAAAACAGTCAAACTAGGTTTTTTTGTTTTTTTTTTTGAGACAGGGTCTCCCTATAGCCCCAGCTGGCCTGGACCTCACTATGTAGACCAGGCTGGCCTCAAACTCTCAGAGATCCGCCTGCCTCTGCCTCACTAGTGCTGGGATTAAAGGTGTGTGCCACCACACCAGGCTTGGTATTTAATTTTTCTAGGATGCATGTTTCATATAAAACGCAAGAAATAATTGGGATATACTGTAACAGATCGTGATACCTGCTGTGTAATATTAGCATTGAAACATTGTTTCTGCAATGGTTATGAAATACTATCTGCTTCTTTTGACCTGCCTTTTCTCCCAAATAATTTAGTTCAGTTCAGTTCTATATTGAATTCCTACTATGTGTCAGGACATGTTGGCTTGAAGGATGGAGTAGTGAAGAAGTCAGATGTTATACTCATGGATCCTCATTCTTGATGGGAAAGAGGCAGTCCAAAAGATAGGTGTCTTGATAAACTCTAGATAGAATGTAATGGACTGAGTAGTCCTATGCAGTGATGTTCAGGAAAAACTTTCAGGAGGTGACATTTAAGTAGGGACACAAATAATGGGATTGAATAAGCTTATGTGTATGTGTGGAAAGATAATACCAGACAGAGGCAACAGAAAGTGCAAAAGCCCTGAGTCTCCTCAGCATTTTTACAGAATAATTCAGAATGAAGTTAATGAAGACCCGAGTGGCAAGGCACAAAATGGAACAGCAGCCTCGGGGAGGGTCATGCAAGGCTTGATTACATGAAGAGCAGATTTACTTCTGAGATGGAGCTACTGTATAGTTTTCAGAAAAGACATGATATGCCCCAACTTAGTCTGAGGAATCACTAGGTTGGTAGAAGATTGGAGGGCATGTTGGGATGCTAAAGGTGGAAGTAGGAAGTCAGTAAGCCATTGTACATTGCTGTGGTCTAGACAAGATACGGTGGTGATAGCTGGCTTTGTTTCTTTCCTCTCATTCTCCTCGCTTCTGCGGATTGAACAAGGCAGAGCCAGTGTAGTTTGTTCACTGTGAGATAAGAAATGTGAAGGAAAAAAGGTGCCAGGGACAACTTCAAGGCAGTTTATCCTAAGCAACTGAAAGGATACCAATAATTGCCAGTTCTGAAATAGGAAATATAATTGGGGATAAAAATTTTGAGTTTGTCTTGGGCACAATTAAAAATTTTAATTCTTAGGTATGTTGGTATGACTACTGGATAAAAGTCTAGAGATCAGGGCTAGAGAGATGGCTCAGTGGTTAAGAGCACTCACTGCTCTTGGAGAGGACCCAGGTTTGGTTCCCAGCACCCTATGGCAGCTAACAATGTATGTAGCTTGAGTTCCAGGGATCCAATGCTGTTTTCTGACCTCTGTGGGCACTGCTTGCCTGTTGTAGGTGCACTTAACATTCACGCAGGCAAAACACTCATACACATAAACAATTTTTTTAAAAAGAGCCAGGCGTGGTGGCACATACCTTTAATTCCAGTACTCGGGAGGTAGAGGCAGGCAGATCTCTGTGAGATTGAGGCCAGCTTGGTCTACCTGCTGAGTTACAGGCCTGCTGGGGCTACAGGGAGACCCTGTCTCAAAAAGAGGAAAAAAAAGTGAAGGAAAAAAAAGTCTAGCGATCAGAGTCAACCAGGCTAGAGAAGGAAATTTGGGAAACACCAAATAAAGATTTCTTGATACCGCTTCATTTTGTGTGTGGGCAGGGTAGGTTATTGATATTGATACTGTACTTTAAAAATGCTCGACCATTTTAACAAGACCAGCATTTAATGAGTTTAGTTTATCAATTGAAATAATTACAATGTTCATATCTAAATCAAACTATATTTTAAATGTAGAAAACTGTAGCAGTTTTGGTTTTTGTGGAACAAGAAGTAAAGTAAAATACAGCAGAGGGCCAGATGTGCTGGTGCATACCTGTAATCCCAACACTTGAGAGGCAGGGGCAGACTGATCTCTGGCCTGCGAAGAGTTCCAGGCTGGCCAGAGCGCTACATAGTGAGACCCCGCCTCAAAAACAAAAACAAAAAACAAAATAACATTAAAATAAAGCAAAATATAACAGAATATTTTGGTTCTTAAGAGTACAAATGTTTCAGTTGACTACTGTATGTGACTGTCTTCCTGATTCTTGGTTGTTTATGTAAAGCTGTGCTTTTTGTGTGGTTTTTAAAGGTAATGCTATGGGCTACGTACGAATGATAAGATCTGGTGGTCTTCACTGTAGCAGCAATGCCATTAGGTATGGACAAAAACATTTTTACTTTATGCCATTTAGTAGTTGCATGATTTAATCTGTTTTGTGACACTCTAGAGTGAGTGTTGGTTCTTGTTAATTTTTTCTGAGGTTGTGAGTGGGACTCTTGTTACTCTGTCCAGCCTGTGGCCCCATGCAGTCTACTCAGCAAACCTGTTTTCTTCCCAGTGAAGAAAAGCATTAATCTTCCCAGCCAAAGTTTTATTCTCCTTAAAATTTAAGACTTTATGAATTATGCTTGTAAAAATTTATCTTAGGGTTATAATGTATTGCTTTTTATCAGATAGCTTATGAAGGAACTTAAAGGTTGCATGACTTTTTAGTATTAAAATGTAATCATGTATAACATTTGATTTGGAACTAAAGTGGTCTTATTAACAATATTACTGAAATACAAAGTTTTTCCTAATTTCATAGTTAAGATTTCTTGAGTATTCTGTAGTACTGTTTTCATATTTGTGTCAGTTGCATATATTTTATTTGCCTCTGATAAATTCCTTCTCAAATTCTTATGTAGATTTGTGCCTGATCTTGAAGATATTGTAAATTTTGAAGAACTAGTAAAAGAGGAAGGTCTTGCAGAAGAAACACTAAAAGCAGCAAGGTATGTTAATTTTGGATTAATCTAAATTTGGAAGTTTAAAAGTATGAAGAACAAGACTAGAAGGCAGTGATTTATATGACAATATTTTTTATGTAAATTATGGTTTCAATTTATGAAATACATTGTTTTTAAAAGATTATAGCATTCTAAGATCTTTCCAGCTTCACCAAAAATATGCTGTCCAATGTGGCAGCCACCAGTCACGTGCTACAGTCTGAAATACAGCAGGTTTAAACAACCAGTCTTAAGGAGTTAGATAAGAAAAAGAAGGCCTAACCAGTGCTGGAGAGATGGCTCAGTGCTAAAAGCACTTGCTGCTCTTGTGGAGGACTGCAATTCAGTTCCCAACACCCACTTGGGACAGCTCCAGGGGATCCGGTTGCTGTCTTCTGACCTTCGAGGGCAGTCGTACACACAGGCATAAACAGACACATAAATAAATGATTAAAAATGACTTTTACCTGCTTTTTATTTTGGAAGTGGTTCTGTTTGCTAATTAATGCTCTTCTGGATTCCTAGTCCTTCCTTTTATGTCATCTAGAGCAGAGCTGTCCAGCGTAGCCCCTACTGCAGTGTTGGTGCCTGTTAATACCTGAAGTGTGCCAAATGGGACTGGGGGGCTAGATTTTAAGTTTCATTTAATTTTACTTTATGTAGTTAGTAGTTATTTCATCAGAGTGTGCCAATATACAGTCTTGGTAATTTCATAACATAACTTAAAACCTGAGAGAGGAAGAATTATTAGGAATGTGTTTAGGACACCCTCTGAATAAAGTACAGAGAGTTGAACTGTTAAGAAGAATGATAAAAGTAGGTTGTCAAACATTAAATTTTTTAAAAATCATGGGGTTGGAGAGATTGCTCAGTGGTTAAGAGCACCTACTACTTTGGCAGAGGATTGGAGTTTAGTTCCCAGCACCCATGCTGGGTGGCTCACAACCACCTGTAATTTCAGCTTCTGGGGGATCCATTGCCTCTGGCCTCCTCAGGCACCCACACTGATGTGCACTTACCTGCACAGAGACACGCACACATACAGATAATTAAAAATAAAATTAATTCACCTGTTGTGGCTGCACACACCTTTAATCCCAGCTCTTGGGAGGCAGAGGCAAAGGAGCTGAATCTCTTGAGTTCGAGGCCAGTCTGGTCTACCTAATGAGTTCCAGGACAGCTGGGGCTACAGGGAGACCCTGTCTCAAAAAAGATCAAAAAGAAAAGAAAGAAAAAGAATTAAAAAAAAAAAAATTAACTCTTAATTGTGACTCACAGTGAAAATACAGTTAGAGGAGGAGAATGTAAGTCTCTCTCTCTCTCTTTTTCTTTCTCTCTCTCTCTCTCTTTTTCTTTCTCTCACTCTCTCTTGCTCTTCAGTTTTAAAGAAGAATGCCAGCTAATGTAAGAGAAAAGATTTGGGGGAAACAATCAATAGCTTGTCATCAGCACTGTAACACTTAAACACTGCATGTCTTGGGAGAACCAGAGGATTCATTTTGAAAAACTGTCCCATAAAATTTTTATTAATAATAAAGAGGTGTCTCCCACCTTAACCAGCAGATCAAACTTAGCTCAGTGGTTAAGAGCACCTACTACTTTGGTAGAGGGTTGGAATAGTAGTGGTGACTGACAGTATGTGGCCTCTTGATGCAGTGTAATGGCAAGTGCCTAGTTTATGTTCTTTCCAGATGTGTTTACTCTCAATGTACTGTGAGGAAGAGTCTTAGAAATCCACAATAGGACATTCTATAAAACCTGACCTAGACCCTAGAAAAAGCAAAGGTCAGGAAAGCCAAAGCTTAGGTAAGAGCACTCTTCTAGGTTAGAAGAGTAAGGAGACCTGGTGATGGAAATGTAATGGGTGGTCCTTACATCCCAGATAACAACAACAACAAAAGATCTGTAAGAGATATATGGGGCGTGATTAGGGAGATTGGAACATGGATTGTATATTAGATAATGTTCCATTTATATTTTTTTCTCTCTATGTACCCACTGTATTTTATTCTTTTTATTGTGGACCTATTGGAAATGTCTTTGTTCTTAAGAGAGTTCATTCTGGATGAAGTGTTTATGTGCTGAATGGTATGAGGCATGCAGTTTTGAGATGTTTCAGAAAAACAGAAAAAGTGTAAATGATTAAGTTTAATCTAGTTTAAGGCTATACAGGGATATTCTGTACTTTATCTTTTTGATAGGCTTGACATTTTCAAAGCAAAATACATTAGAAAGTGTGTGTGTGTGTGTGTGTGTGTGTGTGTGTGTGTGTGTGTGCGCGCGCGCACCCGTGTGTTTTCACATTTTAGCGAGGGTAAGACCCCAACACAGGAGCTTTGCTCTGGAATAGTCTACTAGATAGCGTAAGTCTTTGCCGATGACAAGCTAGGCACAGTTAATAAGGAGTTTGAAAAATTGTGCCTGTAAATGATTAAAATTGTTTATGGCTTGTATATGAGAGAAAGAAAATCATACAATTACTTCTTGTTAAACAATGTCAGTTTCTTCAGATTGATGATCATTTATACCAAAAATACTTGGAAGCAGTCCAAGGAAGTTAGAGTGGGATATTCTCTCTTAACTGATCTCTCTAGAGTGAAACTAACTGCCAATTGCAAGTTCCAGATTTGTGCAGAGGAGTGAATGCCTGACAATAAGTGGAGTCAAGGACATGCTAGGTGAAGTTAAGAACTCACGGTTTTATAATAATGAATAGATTATTCACAGAGGTAGTGGAGGTGACCTCCTCATCCTATATAATAAATTGAGGCCTTGGATAGAAGTTAATAGCATACTTTTAAGAAAGAGTGGAATATACAGATGGTCTCTGGCTTATCTTAATTTTAACTTTATGATAATAACATGCAGTAGAAACTGTATTTCTAATTTTTGAATTTGGTTCTTTTCTTGAACAAGCAATATGTGCTGTGATTTTCTCTTGTGATGCTGGGCAGGGGAAGCAAGTAGCAGCTTCCAGTCAGCCCAGAAAACATGAGGGACGCCCCCTCCCCCAGTACACATACAAATACACAAAATAATGCTTAAATAAATATTTGCCAGTGAGATAGCTCAGTAAGGTGTGTGCTACTAAACCTAATGACCTGTGTTTGATCCCCAGAACCTACATGGTAGAAGGAGAAAACTGACTCCCACAGGTTGTCTTCTGACATCTCCACATTGCATGATTGCCATGTGCGTGCAAACACATGCATGCACACACTCACACACACATAACAATAAATAAATGTAAAAAAATTTTTATTTTTTAATAACCACATACTTAGAAGAAGCATTTCATTACATCAGCATTGACATATTCAATAACAATTTTCTGAGCTAGGCTGCACCTCTTACAAAATTGGCTGTACATTTTTAGGTTTACAGTTGAATTATTACGGTTATACAATATAGTACTCAGTATAGCCCCTATAAGACATAAAATTAAATGAGGTATCGTGCAATGCCCGTGGAGGTCAGAAGAGGTCTCTGATTCTCCTAAAACTGAAGTTGTGAACCATTGTTAGCCAACATGTGGGTGCTGGAAACTGAACTTGGGTCCTCTTCAAGAACAGCTACTTAGCCTCTTAACCGCTGAGCCATCTCTCTAGCCCCTTTATTTTTTTTATTTTTTTATTTTTAATTAGAAGAAGCATTTCATTACAACAGCATTAACCTATTCAATAACATTTTTCTGAGCTAGGGTACATCTCTTTCAAAATTGGCTGTACATTTTTCGGTTTAATTATGAATTATTACGCTTATACAATCTTTTACTCATTATAAACTCTATAAGACATAAAATTAAATGAGGTTCCAACGTTTAAAAAAGATCTCCACTTCGTTGTCAAAACACACAGTTTCGTCCAGAAAAATTCATTCCAAGGGAATTGACATTGAGACGTTTTCACATACATTTCTAATCTCTATATCCATGACTATCACTAGTCACAGTCACCCACCCACCTTCTGAGCTCCTCGGCATCTGAGCATGAATACAAACTCGTCAGGTAGACAGCCTTCCTCTCCCACTA